TCATATTTGGGTGGATAATTATTCTGATGAATTGTAGGGAATATTTCTCTTATGTTCTTTCTTGTGATTTTGTGATATTGCATTTTTATTCAATGGTATCACATGTGTCTTACATGATGAAGAAAGTGTATATGGGCTCACTTCTACTCAGTTGAAGCCTTGCTGCTATCCTGCTTCGCTATTTTGTTCCCTTTAAATTTCAATCTCTCATTGGTTTTATGTTACTTTCCAGGTGATGTGTATTGTAAACTTTGAATCTGCGGCATTGTCCCTTCATGTTATTATAGAGTAGTGAATTAAAAACTTGTTTCCTTCCGTCGATAATCGTACAACTTCAACTATTAAGTGTAGGACATATTGTGTCTGCTGTCTAGTTGCAACAACTTCCATGCTTTATTCCTCTTTCAGGTTTTTAAAAAAAATTGTTTTTCTCCTTTTTTTCTTGGATATGACTAGACCCGGTACATTACTATCAGTATATTATTTGGTGTATAGGAAGGTTCCTTTAGGACTATTAGGAGGAAAAGATGGACTGAATATCTAATTGATATTATGTAAAATGCATTTAATTCAGAATTAAGATGTAAAACTGCATCATGTGGATGCTTAATTATCAGAAGATAATGCTGAGTAACTTGAATGCATTTTAGGATATTGGTAATCTTGATATTTCTTTAGGAATATTAGGATTTTGGGGGGAAAATGGACGAAAAGTTGCAAAGTGTATTGTATTAAATTGCATATAATTCAGAATTAAGATGTAAAATAGCAGCACGCAAACTCTTAATTATCAGATATAAGTTATAACACTATATGAATTGCATGCGTTCTAGTAGTGTTCTACACTCTACTGTTGACTGAGCATCTGGGTTTCCTATCACTCATTAATGTGTTTTCAGGTACTGTACTGGAGGAATTAGATGCGAGATGGCATCAGCCTATATCAGGTCTAAAGGTGCCGGCTTTGAAAATGTTTTCCAGGTCAACTTTTAGGAGAATCAGACCCTTCTGGTGCACTTTTTTAATGTTGTTGTGTCTTTCTTTGGTGTTGTTGCTACATTGAAAAATAAATTAAACTATGATTTCTCTTTTATTAAGTGAAATTCTGTTGAATTTGGAACCCTAACCTTGTGTCAATGGTTAGTTTTTTGATTTTTTTTTTTGAAACCATGAAGTTGATCTTTTAAGCTTTGCCATGGTAAGACTGAGACTTCATAATGCAATGGATGACCATGTTTTGAAATATCCATGTTATGCTTTCTAAAGAATTTCTTTTGCGGAACAACCAGGTTCATTTAAATTCCATTTTTTTAGAAATTCCATTTCATGATCATTGGGATTTTGAACTGTGGTTATGTTGAAGGTTGATTCAAAGTAATTACTTTCCACAGCTTTATGGTGGGATTCAACGATATCTGGAGCAATTTCCTGATGGTGGTTTTTTCAGAGGAAAGAATTTTGTCTTTGACCACAGGTATGGTCACTGTATTTCAGTGGTTCTTAGTCAATCCCTACTTGAATTGTTGGTTTCAGTGATCCAGCATTCTTACGGATGTGATTACACCTTCATTAGTACTAGGAAACTCTTTATCCAAAATATATGTGTAGCTGCTTTTTATCTCACAGGTAATAACCATAAAATAACATATAATGCGGCTCTCCATGTTAGCACATTAAGCATATGTAGGTCTTTAACTCCATACCTGTTTGTGTGTGTGTGTATTACAGAAAATGCATATTACCAGAAATTTACCTTTTTCCCGTGTCAATATCCATGCCATAAAATACTCTTCTAGAAATGTTGTGTGTGGCGTTCATTTACTTCCTTTGCAGAGTATCCGTAGGAGGCATTCTCAATGTTTTCCCCTACACTTTCTGGTCTTGGCAGGGTTTCAGTTGGAAGTTCAGATTCAAGAATTTTGGGCACTTGTCTTTTTTGTAATTCTCCATTTGATGATTACTCCTCACGGAGCCGGTGCACATACTGTAGGATGCTTGTATTAGTCTGTGATAATTGCCGGGTAAGTATCACTAGGAAGATTGATCAAGCCTCTTGATTGCATTAGCTTAGTTGGGTACTTAAAACTATTTCATATCTCAGAAATTCAATGCATACTTTATCTTGTATAGTACTTGAACAGTTGAACTGTTATTGCACGGTATATATAGAGTGATGAGGGCATGAAGCGTTCCTTTTTTATGGTTAACTGGTAGATCTCAACCTATGCTTGTTGCCTTGTATGCCTCTAGGCCTATCCGTTAATAAATTTTAGCAATTCTTCAGTTCTTCCCATCAGAAGCCTTGATGATGGAGATGTATACCTATTATGTAGATGATTAAGGCCTATCTTCACTTTTATGCTTGTTTGGACTTTGGGCAAACTAATAGATAGCTGCCTTTCAGTTAGGAAGTACCTTATCTGTGCTTTGGGCTAATTAGTACTGCAGTTACCTCCCTTTCATTTCATTGCTTCTGTCCCACAATGAATGACCTCTTCTTTAAAATAGCAGTCAACTTTTAAAAAAAATCAATTAATGTAATAATATTGCTTTTTATTTGAATTTTGATGTGACATCCATATACCCTTTTCAAATATTCAAAGTTCCAAGTATTGCATTATTACTTTAACATAATGGTCTTGTCTCAACCATCTTGGAAGTCAACTCTGTTTGGTTATCCAAGGAGTATTTCCTTTTTGATTGTTTTGTCATCTTTTCTTCACCTCTCTCTTCCTTTTGTTAAATGTTTCTCCTGTCTTGCAGGAGAAGGATTCTTCTTATGTTTGTGAACTATGCCGGAAAAACAGCCAGTGTATTCAGCCAACTTCAGCAACAGAGTTTGACAACTCAGTGGAAATATCAGAAGTTGCAGAGCTTGAAGCTGTCTCTACCTCGGACAGAATAGCACCACCTGCCTTGGTTTCAGGTAATAGTATGGTTTCTGGTATCGACTTTCAAGTTCAGCTTTGCTTGCACTCTTTGAACTTTTTCTGAGCTAGGTTGTATGACTTCCCAAAAATTGTAGAGTAGATAGATATGCACCCTATCAATTTAGATTTTAGCCATGCAGTTTGACAATAAAAAAATACTATTGTACACACTTTGTTGCCAGCACAAACATATTTGGGAAGACTAATTCTGGGATATGCTTTTAAATACTTCTTTTCGCCTACTTGGTGTGTCAAGGCACTCTTTGACATTATGTTGAGGAATACACTGCAGGACCCAGGACATTGCGAAAACTGAGAATTCTTTGCCTTCATGGTTTTCGCCAGAATGCTTCTGGTTTCAAAGGTAGAACTGCATCTTTAGCCAAGAAACTCAAGAGCATTGCTGAGCTTGTTTTTGTGGATGCACCCCATGAATTGCCTTTCATTTATCAAATTCGCCAAAACTGCAATTCTGCATCAGCACTGGAAAATGACCGTCCACCTTCAGAGAGATGCAACAAAAAGTTTTCATGGTTAGTTGCACCTGATCATAAGGGGGAGAACGAGTCTGATTGGAAACTAGCTGATAGTCCATTTGATCCTCTTCAGTACCAAAAACAAACTGAAGGCTTTGATAAATCAATTGCATATTTAAAAGCCTTATATTCTAAAGCAGGCCCATTTGATGGGATATTAGGTTTTTCACAAGGAGCTGCAATGGCAGCTTTAGTTTGCCTGCATCAACAGAAGCTAAAAGGAGAGATGGAGTTCAGATTTGCGATCTTGTGCTCTGGATTTGCTGTCAATATTAACAATTGTCAGCAGGGATCAATCAATGTTCCTTCACTTCACATATTTGGCAGCGACAAGGGTAAAGATAGGCAGATAGAGAACGAAGCTAGTAGACACCTTGCTTCTGTATTTGAGAATGGCTGCTCTGTTGTTATTGAACATGACTTTGGTCATATAATTCCAACACGACCTCCATATATAGACCAGATAAAAGATTTCCTCCAACGTTTCCTGTAAGTTATTACCTAACATAACTCGGGTTTCAAGTCATTGATCAATAGAGCCTTGACGCATACCATCTTTTGCAGTAAGAGTCTAAGAGATTTGGGATTATGCTAGCTCGTACCCTATGTGGCTATATCACAACTTCTGTATGCTATTAATCAGGATCCCTGTTTTCAAAGGTGTGCAATCTTGTTCTGTGCATCTTTTGTCTTCTGAAGTAAATTCGTTTATTTCTTCAAAACTCATGTAAGCGAGATCAATTGAATTATTCATATGATAGTGCTCCCTTAAAGTACCATTTTCCAGTTTCTGCTTTTCAAGAGTTGACACTTCAACTTTGATCATGATGTTTCTATATCTCTTTTATACATTTTTCTTTTCAACTTTCTATCGTCATTGTAGTTTGTAAACTTTGAATATCATTTGTGTAACGATTAATTTTTCGTGTTCGTTCTTCTTTCAAAAATTAACCAAATCGACTCAATTAGAGTCAAGGTAGATATTGTTACTATAGTTTGGGACACAAAAGCATCTGAAAGACATACAATTGTAGTTTATAATAACCTTTATATTGTCCATTTGTCCCTAAGATCATATTGTTTATCTCTGAGTTTTTGTATCCTCAACCAAATTAGATCGAAAAAGAAGTGTTATTAATATATATATATATATATATATAAGCATTTTCAGAATTTTAAAAGATGTATGAAAATTCTTTTCCTTCACTCTGTTTCAATGAGAAAATAAGCAGTAATAGTTTCTAATTTGAAGTAAAAACTGACAGGTACCAAAATTAAGAAGCAATAGCAATTATTACGCCATATGAAAATACACTTGATTATAAATTTACCTTCACCAGAAAAGAGAAGGGAACTTGTGTGTATCGCTGGAAAAAAAAAAGGACAAAAAAGAGGGGCAAATTAAAGATAAAGGTAAAAGTGGGAACTTTTTGCTGTTTCACCAAAAAGAAGGGTGCAAAATCTGAAATAGAAAATATAATTGGACGACAATAGATAATATATGAGTAATCGGGTGCCTACTGCAAATATAAGAACTCACGGGGACCTTAAACCTCAAAAGGAGAAAACTCAAGAAACACTGAGGAACCCCAGTTCAGTTCTGTTGTACCTATTACCAAAGTTATTACAAACCTGCAACCATCCCAAAGTGAATACGAACCTAAGGCTAAAGGCGGGAAGCAAGCAACAGCAGCATGCAGGTTTTTCGAAGAAACCCATCACTTCACAGAATCTCCTCCAGATTCCTTAATCAAGTTCGTTTTCTTTTCTTTTCCTCTTCCAAGGTATAGCAAGCTTTTCAATTTTTGTTTGGCTTTTCGGTTATCTTAGTTGTGTAACATATGTTGGGATATTTCATATATCTTGAGGTTCATTGCAAAAACTCGTTATATTTCTAAATGGGGTTGAGCATGTGGTCCAATATAATTCAGTAGGACTTGCAGCTGTAGCTTATAGTGAGACTATTAGAGGACATTGGATTAATTAATTATATGGCTGCAATTCAGATATTCAAATCGTTTATTTTTCCTGTTTGCAATTTTTCGGCCAAGTGGTGAAACAGTGGAATTTTCTCCCCATTCTTAGGTCAAGCTATAATCTTTTTGTTTAAGAGTTGGTTTGGAGGTTTAGATTTATTTTCTAATTCAATTAGTTTTGGTTTGCTGCTGATATGTCATGAATTGAATGCGATAGGTAGTCAAAACCAGTGCATATTCAACCAAGAAAGTTTACAATGCTGGGCAGCCGACTGCTGCCACTCACCCTCAGGTACTTCTACACTGCATATGTAGTATTGACATTTGCTAAAATTGAATTAAGGCTGTTGAAATTAACGATAATATGCAGTAAATTTAATATCTTGTTTTCCTGGGGGTTGTTTTCCTTGTATGGGACATACCTTCGCTGTCCTTTGGAGCTCCTTTGTGAATTTCTGTTAAATGTTGTTATATCACTGCATGCAGTTAATGAAGGAAGGGGAGATTACTCCTGGCATTACCAGTGAAGAATATATGCAGAGAAGGAAGAAACTATTGGAGTTTCTTCCGGAGAATAGTTTAGCGATTGTTGCAGCCGCTCCCATAAAAATGATGACTGATGTTGTACCATACAATTTTAGGCAGGATGCTGACTATTCGTACATCACCGGATGCCAACAACCTGGCGGTGTTGCAGTTCTAGGCCATGACTGTGGTTTATGCATGTTCATGCCAGAACAAAGCCCCCAGGTATTTCAGGAACCATTCACTTGCTTCCTTCTTGTTGATAAGAAGCTGTTAATAAGAAAAAAGCTTCGTCCTATAATTTAGTGACATTTTTCTTTAGATTCAGCTACTACCATGATTTTTTGGTAGTTAGTATACATTGTAGCAAGTTACAGATTTTTTCCATGCTAAAAGTCAAAAAGTATTTTTAGGACGTTCTTTGGCAAGGAGAAATTGCTGGGGTTGATGCAGCTCTACAGTATTTCAAGGCTGACCTTGCTTACCCTATTAGCAGATTGCCTCAGGTAAATCTTTTTTAAAATCATATCTCCAACTGCAAATAAGTTTGAGATTCTTTTTAGAAGCGAATACCTCTCACACTGATAAGTAAAAGGGCATATGATAACATCCCTTCTTTTATTCCTTTCAATAGGACAATGGAGTACTTTATCTAAAAAGGGAGTGGAAACCTATTTGTCTCCTTTCCACTTGATTATAGAAATTTATGTCAGAGAATTAAATCTGTAAGATTTGGCCTGTAGATACCTTTTGACTGTTGATGCAATTCTTAGAATAATTGCTATTGAAAACACCTTCTTCTTCTCTTTTCCTGCCGGGGAAAAGAATTTTTTTTCCTCCTTTAATATGCGTAAAAGGTATAGAGGGAACAAAGTGGATGGAAGTTAGAGTTTTCACATATATAGGAGTCAGGCCTGGCTTATTACTATAAATTCATGTTTGATAGGACCTACCACTGGATGTAGCTTTTCCTCATAATTTTGAAAATCAAGCAGGCATCGTGCTAGGATCGGTTGAGAATATAATATTATGGGTGAGAAATTGAAGAATGAAGGTTAACAGAAAGTGGACACTGTGTTCCAAATGGATACTAGGTAAATGATTTAGGCAGAGGGAATATTTTTTGGTTGGCTATATTTGGCTCTCAGGTTAACCGTTTGACCACTTAATGGCAATTTACTATTTAAATCGGCAACACAGAGAACAGGATGTGAAGATGTAAATATGACTGTGTTATTTGTAGAAAACCAGTTTATGGTGTAGGTTTTCTAGTTATTGTAGAGCACTTGCGCACAAGAGTTTAAATCCGCAACATCGATAAATTCTTACCTTATAAAAAGAGCAGGCGATATCATGATTATCTCTATGTCAGCAAAGAATATGTCAATTATTTCCTTCTAAGCTGTCTTCCCTGTACATGGCTTCAGTGTAGTGACTTTGTTTCACTTTCTCCATGTTCCAATTTCTCTTCTCTAATTTTTGCTGGACTTGTCAGATTCTCTCCAGGATGATAGAAAGTTCTTCCACTGTGTTCCATAATGTGAAGACAAGGACTTCATCCTACCTGGAGCTTGAGGCCTACAAAAAAGCAGTTAGCAATTACAAAGTGAAAGATTTCTCTGTTTACACTCATGAAGCCCGATTTGTGAAGTCTCCAGCAGAGCTGAAATTGATGAGAGATTCTGCATCTATAGCTTGTCAGGTAATGGTAGTTCTTTCATTTTTGTCAGGTTCATGGGTTAGAGTGGTAGTTCTTACTCATAGAGTTCTTGTTTTGATTGGACATGGAAAAGCAGTCTCTGGGTTATAGAGATGGAAAGATAGAGTGTACACCTGACACTACTTTTGTATGTTTATTTGTTTTCCAATGAAGTTGATACTCTTCACACAGTTAACATGTGACTAAGGTATTGATATGCCAGCGAGGTGTTTTCAGAATTTTAAAAAGCTTATTTGCAGGTCAGCTGTTATACAATCTTAAGTAACATGTTTGTCATTTTGCTATACAACAAATTTTAAAAAAAAGGTAAAATATGTATTTGCATTTCCCTTTATTTCCTCTTCTTCTTTCATGTCTAGGGTGGTATCTTCAGGTTGAAAGATACTACACTTCTGAGGATCTAAAAAAATTTCAGAGAAGGAAAAAGCGTACAGATAAAAGGATCACCGGTCTAAAAGAAGACGGTTCTTAATATTCCAAAAGTTGGAGTCCAGCTTGCTTATTTGGGTCAACATATTCTTGCTCTAATTGTGAAGGAACAGTTCTTGCATGTACAATCCTTTCTTTGATAATGTGCTTCTGTGTTAAGTAGTTCTGAAGCTCCAGGCATGCTTGACGAAAAGATGTGTATATACTACTCATTCATTCTATTTCACAATCATGATTTGCATGTTTTCTTATGAGAGACTGGTCTGGAAAATGTTTCTTCCTATTCATGGACTTGTATGCAGTTGCCTAGCAATATAGTTTCCAGTTATATGGGAGTTGAGATATTTTCCTTTCACTAATTCAGTCCTTTTTTATACTGTATAAAGGATATTTTTTATTTCTTGATCTTTTAATGTATATATTTTTGGTAGGCACTTATCCAGACCATGTTGTACTCGAAGTTGTTTCCTGATGAAGGAATGCTATCAGCCAAATTTGAATATGAATGCAGGGTTAGAGGTGCCCAAAGAATGGCGTAAGCTTTTTCTTGTAATAACTTTTGGAAGTTTGTATATAGAGAGGATCACGTTGCAATTTCAAAGTATTTTAGTCTAACATGAATTGCAGCAGAGTGAATCAAAATGCCACTAAGACCTCATGTGTAAACATGCAATTGATTTCTTTTTCTTCTATTCTCTGAGATTCTGATAATTTGTTGTTTTTCCTGACTGTTATTTTTGGTCATACTTCTGGCTGAGATAGTTTCAAGGATTATACATTTTTCTTTTCCTGTTCCGCAGGTTTAATCCTGTTGTTGGTGGCGGACCTAATGGCAGTGTCGTGCATTATTTTCGTAATGACCAGAAAGTATGTTTACTGTCTTTAAGCACAGTTGAATTTGAATATCAAGCATATTGAGTAGTAGTATCTAATTTGTTGTTTTAACAGATTGAAGATGGGGACTTTGTTGTTTTAACAGATTGAAGATGGTAACCTTGTCCTCATGGATGTTGGATGCGAGCTCCACGGTTATGTCAGTGATCTTACTCGTTCTTGGCCGCCCTTTGGAAAATTTTCTTCTGTTCAAGTAAGTATAGAATCCATGATTTTCTTCTCCTTTTTCCCCTTACAAACTCAAGTCAAACCCCACTCCTCTGGGTAAAAACCCTGTTCTAGCTTATCAAAGTCATAGACAACCTTCCATTTCAGAAAGAATGCACTGACCTAAATTGAAACCCCAGACTACCAAAACAATCTAGAAAGACAAATAGTAAAATGAAAATCATCAGGTAATGTAGCCTAGCAGCTAGCTTCACCCTCCAGTGGTATGAGTTATGAATCTTAATTCCAGATCCTCAATGGCCTTGCTGATTTGATGTGGATGTGAAGAATGAGAATGATATAATCATATAAAGTCCCTCCTTATTAGAAAAACAAAATCTCAATTTTACTTCTAAGCTACAGATTATGCTTGAGAAATAAATTCTTCCCTTGTTATGGTTTTAAATTGCTACTTTTCTGTGATATAGTCTCTATGCATTATTGTCCGGAACTTAGTGATATGCTCCAAGATACATTTCAGGAGGAACTTTATAATCTTATTTTGGAGACAAACAAGGAATGCGTGGAGCTGTGCAGACCTGGCACGACCATCCGAGAAATACACCACTACTCGGTACTATTTTAGTTAATCCATCTCGTATTTTCTTTCAGTTTATATTCAAGGGGTAGCTGAGAGTAGGAATTTAATTTTTTTTCTCTTGCCTTTCATAGTCTTAGACCCAGTTATATTGCCAAGTTACATTGGCAGTCTCGGTGATATAAATTTGGGTACAGTTGTGAAGGCCATACTCTTGCTTTATGTTTTGCCTAATTCTCAAGTTACACTGACTTCCACCTCCTATTGTGAATAGCAATGTTGCTTCAAGGTTTTCGTGCTAGACCAGCTATGTTGTATGGGGCTGAGTGCTGACCTGTCAAGAAGTCCCATGTCCACAAGATGAAAGTAGCTGAAATGAGGATGTTGAGATGGATGTGTGGGCATACCAGGAAGGACAGGATTAGGAATGAAGTTATTAGGGGCAAGGTAGGAGTGGCATCTGTGGAGGACAAGTTGCGGGAATCTAGGTTGAGATGGTTCGCGCATGTGAAGAGGAGAGACATAGATGCACTCGTTAGGAGGTGTGAGGGGTTGCCTATGTCGGGTCTGCGGAGGGGAAAGGGAAGGCCTAAGAAGTATTGGGGAGAGGTTATTAGGCAGGACATGTCATTGCTTCAGCTTACCGAGGATATGACCCATGATAGGAAGGTGTGGAGGTCGAGGATTAGGGTTGTAGGTTGACGGTTAGTAGTGTGTTCCTCCTAGGCCTACCAGTAGTACTAAGACTATTTTTGTATTATCTTAGTCATGGTTCTTTATTATTACATGTTGTGTTTGTTGTTGTTGTTGTTGTGTCATTCACGCCTGTCACCATAATGCATTGTTCTCACTTTGTTTACTACTTGGCTGCTTTATCTTATCTCTATTGTTCCTTGAGCCGAGGGTCTATCGGAAACAACCTATCTATCTTTATAAGGTAGGGGGGTAAGGTCTGCGTACACACTACCCTCTCCCGACCCCATTTATGGGATTACACTGGGTTTGTTGTTGTTGTTGTTGCTTCAAGGTTTTCGTTCCTATGCATGAGCCGAGGGAAATGAGGCTTGATGGCATTTTCGAAGATAAGGAAAAAAGTTTAATTCCTTTTAAGCCTCTGAGTATAGAGGTGTTGGGGAGAGATAGATGCCTTTTGATTGCCCTCCCTTGATTTGAAAATAGTATTTGCTCTCCCATTTCTTCATATATGATGAATGGTAATGCTTTGTAAGATAAGCCAGTAAGGTAATGATTAGAGGTGTCTAATTAGTGTAGTGTGCTTTGGTAATTGATTCTCAATGAAGGGTAGTATTACTTTGTTGATGCAAATGCTTTATGAATTAAGGGTCATTCTCTGCATTTGTTGTTGGGGCAGCTGTTAAAGGTCTTATTACTGTTCAAGATATGGGCATATATGGTATATATTCTGTAGTGAGTAATTGCCCCATATCAGCGTGCTCTTTTCTTTAGATACTTAAGGGCTGCCAAGGTCTCATTCTTGTTTTTTTATTTGATGTGTATAGGTAGAAAAGCTGCGAAGAGGATTCGAAGAAATTGGGATACTAAAAAATGATCGGCGTGTTAGTTATGACATGTTAAATCCTACAAATATAGGTCCTTCCTTTTAACCCTTACTCTTCCACTGCAGATACAAGTACAAATGCATGTGCAATAGCAGCAGAAACCTGCTCCCTCTCAATTGTCTTCACAGTTGCTATTCCTATTGTGCTTTTTGCTGAAAAGAGAAATGATTTCTTGTACCGCTGCAACCATCTCTGAATGAATTTGGTTTGTTCAATTATATTTCCAGGTCACTATCTAGGAATGGACGTCCATGATTGTTCTACAATTGGAAATGATCGACCTCTGAAACCTGGTGTAGTAAGTTTCCTTCCTTACTGATGATTGCTTTGATATTTGAAAATAATCGGGAAACTGCTAGGTTTGCAAAAGAAATTGGTTGTCATTGTTTTGAAATCCTCCTAACGAATGAGGACCAGTGACTTGTTCATTTGGAAACAAATGAGCTTTGCCACTATGCATTACTCTCTTTTAGCAATTTACAATGAGTTTTCCTCCAAAGGATAGTTCAGTCATTCTCTCTTTGCTTCTTGACTGAATTACAGTATGAACCAACTAAGAATGCTTATGTTTTTAGAGCCATATGGTCAAATTTCCCTTTTTCTTCACTTTTTTCCATTTTATAGAGATGCAAAGGGTTAAAAGAGGATTGAATGATGATATATATGAATATTTTCTTAACTGCTTTTGTCATATGCACCTCTTTGGTCCTGTTGCAGCTTCTAATTTCATCACTTTTACTAGTAGTTACATGGAGAAAGTTAAATTCAGAAATGAAGTTGGTGAGGTTTATTTCTATTGAAGGATGTATACATCAGGGTAATGCGTGTATTTGCATAAAAATTATGTTTGAAATCTTTGACGGTCCAATTAGCAGAAAGATCAAATTATCTTTTGCTTCTCTCTAGGTTCTATGTAGACCTTTGTTTTGACTGATTAATTTGAAATATTTGAAATGATTAATTCCTCGACCACTTAGTTCATTAACTCCCGCTCCATACACGATGCAATTTTTGTTATTGATAAAGGTTTCGTTCCTGGTATGTCTACTCTTTATCAAAAAGTAAAGTTCTTGTATATCTTTTGATTCTGAGTCGCAAGGAATGTAATATTCCTGCAGAATGTGTGATGTTATATGCAATTGTAGTAAAATTTCTCAGTAGCTTGCGCATCTTGTTTTCATGTTGGTACTGCAAACTGTTAACTTATACTTTATGTATAATCCATTTCATGACGAGTACCTTGCTCTTTGTGAAAGGTACTTAACGTCCAACATGCTTGCTTCCATGTATGAAAAATTATTAGTTATCCCATCTGCTCCTCTTTCCTTCATTCTTCGAATCATAAAAAAAATTGGAATATGCTCCCGAGCTGTCTGATATGACAATAAAAACATACACAATATATGTCAAGTCAGCTGTTATATGCAAAATTACTGAAGGTTATTCCAGTAATACAGCTTATTGGTGTAGGTGGTAGATTTATGTTAAATTATGCTTTAACTGATGTCTATTTTGCCAGTGATATCTGCATCCATGCATTTGTTTTTAGTCCTTACAATTTTTTTTTTCAGAACTACTATGTTTTTGAATAAGTAGCACCATGAACATGCTACTTAGAGGTCTTAGTTTGTATAATTTATGTTGATCATATCTGTGGAGAAATATGCTAATTTTGCGTGGGCCGTGGCATTTGTATTTGAAAGAAGTACATGACTTTTGATTGTTCTGAGATTATGTGCAGTGTCTTGTTCTTTGACTTCGGGACTCTTGGAACACTTTGTGTTTACTCTGTACATTCATGATTCATACATCTAGACAAGGTCATGGCCAATTGTGAAACACGCTTTACTTTTTTTAGAAGTGAAGGAGACGCTTTACTTATGCTTTACATATAGCTCAGAATACAACAGATGAAATTGAACAAAGCTAATAGTCTAGGATAAAATTGCCTGGTCATTGTTTAGACATTTGTAAACTCCTGTTCCCTCTGTTTGTTTCTACATTAACCTTGATGAGGCGTTCATTGATAAGAAGAATCTCTGACCGCATAAATAGATGAGTGCTTTTCATGTTAGCTTCCAATTACTTGTGATTTCTGCAAGAACTTTTGATCAATCTGCATGGACTGTTATATGTAGGTCATCACAATTGAACCAGGAGTATACATCCCTTCATGCTTTGATTGTCCAGAAAGGTATACTTGTTACCGCATCAAATTAATATTCCTTTTGGCATGCATTCAGAAGTTACTGTATCTTAGATCATCTTCGAGATTCTTGGTTTATTGAACTGGTTCTATCTGCCAAAATGTATTATGGTGGATGGACGAAGAGTTACTCATTCATGCAGAAAAGATTGAGAATCATATAAAGATGTCTGTTCTAGGTTGGTCAGGTAGATCTTGTAGGTCTAGTCAACATGTTAATCTAAGGACCTTGTAGCAGAAGTAGTCGTATCGTGCAAAGGAGTCCCAGTTTGGTTGGGGTTTCAGTGAATGACCGATGGCTACTTGTATGTTCAACCAAGAATGGGATCAGCAACCTTTACTTCGAAATTTCTTTTGCAAGGTTCGAGAAAACTTCCCACAAACAAATAGCTCGAAAGAAATATTCCACATATCAATGGCATTTTCTGGCTGTCCCATTCAAGGGAAAATTGTTGCTTTTGTCATAAGTCTTAGGGAGAAAGAATTATTGCTCACTTGAACTAAGAAGTTTCATCTGGTGATTCATCTATAGTTGAGGAGCTAAATTATTTTCTTACCCCAGTAAGGAACAATGTGTTTGTTTCTTTAGAATTCTTGATTTTTACTCACTTATATATGCATAAATCATTGTCTATATTCACTTATGCTCATTCAGGTTCCAAGGCATTGGGTTTAGGATTGAAGATGAAGTCCTTATTACAGAATCAGGTTACGAGGTATAATTACAGAAATTGTTCAACTGTTTGAAACAACCGAGTTATACAAGTACCAGTTCATATAATCTCTGATACTTTGATCACTTCCGAAACTTATTAGCGTTCAAGACCTGATTCTCTGCCCTATTGGAAACAGGTACTTACTGCATCCATACCGAAGGAAATTAAACACCTCGAGTCCTTGTTGAACAACTTTGGAAGTGGGAGAGGAACTGAAATTAGAAATTAGAGCTGCTCTCAGTTAGTTCTGCTTTTAAAGTCTCCAAGTTTCTACACAGAATTAACCAAATAGCAGGACTAGAATCTGAGTGATCCTTAGTCATACTTGTTTTAGTCAGAAGTTTCATATCTGCTCCTCATTCTTTTCGCAGCCATTTCTACTCTACTAGCAAGAACGTGGATCATTAAAATTTGATGTTATAAGTGTTGAATAATAATTTATGTGATCCTATGGTATTTTAATAAGAACAATTTTATTGGCTTTTATAGAACAAGCAGCATAAGTTGAAGGATCGCTTGGAAGCATTTCTTAGTCATACAGTATTGTCTTTGTGCAGTCCAATATTATCTAAATATCATAGTTGTATATATCCAAGCTGGATTCGTTTATAAAGTAAGGTTCAAAATAAACCCCTAAAACTTCCAAGAACAGATTTTTTTTTTCACGTTTATTTTATTTTCCATGAAGTTGCCAATATAATTCAAATGGCGTTAGGCAACTATTGGCATACATTTGAAAACTAATGGATCGTAATTAAAAGTAGGTGAACCATTAATTGAGTCTAGCCTTTATTTGCCTCAAAAGTCAAAATTAGAAGTAGGTGAACCGTGAATTGTGTCCGGACCACTCGATGTCATATAATGAGCTCTAGAATTAACTATCAACACTAATGCCTTATTTCTTTTTTCCTTTTTTTATAAAGTCAATACTAGTGATTAAGTTGGAATTCGTCCAAACTGAGTTCAAAATACATACGAGTCTAAAGTTACTTTGGCAAGCCTAACTTTATATGTCTGATTTTTCATATTAATTTTTTTTCAGAAAAGTTTTTTTTATTATCTTCTACAAATCCATTCAAATTCTCTGTACTCCCTCAGTTTCAATTTAGATGATACTTTCCTTATTAGTTTGTTCTGAAAAGAATAACACATTTTTATAATTGGAAATAGTTCAACTTTATACTTTTTATTTGGCGAAGTACATAAACGGCCCATTCAAGTTGTCCTCAACGGTCAGCCAGACACCTCAACTGACCCCTTTACCATTTTAACACTTATAGTCCGTAAAAAATAAGCCTCATGAACACCCGAGTCCAACAGACCATATGAGTGAGTTACACTCGCCTATGACTTGTCAAATTAACCAATAAGAAAATGACACATAAATTGTCCATAAAAATCTGATAAATGTAATTAACAAAACATAAACACATTTAAAGCAAAAAAGAAAAAAGAAAAAGGGGGGGGGGGGAGGGGGGAGTGAGGGAAGAAGGAGATGAATGGAGGGGCAGTCTCACGTTAGGGTAATAGGAAATTTTCTCCCCGCCCCCCGCGATCCTATCTGTGCAGATTTCCCAACAGCAGCTTAGACGTTGATACCCGTGCCTACTTCACCGCAAATATTTTTCTTCATCCCCTTTCTGACTTCCCCTTTATTTCATCCCATTTTTTTCTTATTCTACAACTAACCAATTAAAGATCCCAACTAACCAATTTCATCCCAACCTTTCTGATCTTTTCCTTATTGACGAAGCTTGGCAGCTCGGGCGACCTCTATCTGTCTACCTTTTGGTCTTCATTCTTCTCTCTCTTATTTCATTGATTCAAAACTTGGATTTTCAATTATTATTCTTTGTAGAGTATTCTAAATTCTTGGGTAAATTTTTCTTGAATTGGTGTCTAGTTGATTTTTTGATTCAAGCAACCGGGTTTCACATCTTTCGAAAATGGATGGATGAAGTAATTCTACTGAGATTTCATTCATGAATTATGAGTTTAACAATTTTTTGGTTAATGATGGGCTTTAATCTGATGAAACTTTTGTTTGCTAATGTGGGTTTGACAGTCACGGTGGTAGCGAAGGGGGCGATAATGGCCAACTGATTCTGTAATGGTTGGAAGAAGATGTTGGAGTTTTGGGGCCCACTTCAAATTAATTTTAAAAACAAAAAAAACATAATTTGGTATGCAACGCGCGTTTCGGACTGTGTGTCACACGCGAGATGGGCTGACTAGGCCGGGTATTTACTTGATACATTTAATAGCTACTTGAAGTGTTAAAATGGTAAAAGAGTCTGTTGAGGTGTTCAAATGACCGTTGTGGATAACTTGAAGGGGTCATTTATGTATTTCGCCTTTTTATTTTACCTATTTTACTTTTAATAATAAGTTTTTATAATTATATCAGTACCATAAAGCTTTTAACCCTTAAGCTTTTAAGACGTCAAACTAACTCGTTAAATTGAACGGAGGGAGTAACATCTAACCTGTACAGCTACAGATGAGTTCAGAGTACTGTTCATGCCATTCACGATTTTCTAATCAATCTCTTTTCTAAATCTGCATTTTTTGCAGTAAAAGCTTCTTTGACTGACAAAATCAGTTTTTCTCTCGACTTTGGCCCATCAATGTACTGAGAAGTAGGTTATTTAACTGCTCCCGCAGTTGGTAATTCAATGCCAAGCTTTTCTTCAAATTCTGCTTGGTAGCGAGAAGTTGTGTTTTTCTCATCTCACCAGCAGCAATCTCAGAATTATTTGAATGGTTAAGGTTGCATTGAAGTTCTGCAAATCTAGCCTTGAGCTCATTGACCTGATTCCTCAATTCCTCCACCTGTACATGACATTCAACCAGGAAATTTGCCACCTGCTCCCTGAATTCCTCCATTTCTCGACTTTCTAAACTGTAATAGCTCTGTTCCTCTTTCTCTAACTCTTCCAAGTTGTCTACCTCATCCTTCAAATCCCTGTGTTTCTGAAGATTCTGGAGATAATCAGCATCAAGGCGGTGGAGGCGAGACTTGAGAGAAGAGATAAACAAGTATTGAGAAGCAATTTTGCGATCAAGCTTGAGGCAACGCTGTTCCATGGATGCGATGTTGGAAATTCTCGAGGCCAACACCTGAGACTTGCTTTGCTGGAGCTCTTTCTCCAACTGAAGAACAGAGAGACGCTCGCTTCTGCTCTGCTCCATCTGTTCAAGTCTTTCACTGAATGCCGACGGAAGCGCCATCGCTGATCCTGCAAACTTAAGATTCAGGAGTTTTAAACTTTAGCCTCTTAGATTTGAAAATGATGCTGAGGCGGCTAAACATTAATTAGTGCATGCACTTGATGGTTCCTTGAGAAATGATAAAAATTATTACTAATTGTTAAGTATTTACAATTTTGATATATAAAATTACTCCCTCCGGTTCACAATAAGTGTCCAATTTACTTTTAGCGCGCCCATTAAGAAAATATTAAATTCTATACAAAATTACCTATTATGACTAAACTATCCCTAATTAAACATTTAATGTGAGGAGTAAGAAAACTTTTTAGTGATATGTACATAGGGGTTATTTTGTAAAAACAAATTGAATTCTTTCTTGATTACATAACTGGACACTTATTTTGAACCAAAATGTAAAAGTAAATTGGACACTTATTGTGAACCGGAGGGAGTAATAATTTCATAACTCATGTTGGTAATATTATTATTAGTACTAACACAAAACAAAAGACAACTAAACATTCGACTGTATAACAACAACAACAACAAAAAACCTAGTGAAATCTCACAAATGGAGTCTGGGGAGGATAGTGCGTATGCAGACGGCCTTACCCCTATCTTGTGGAGGTAAAGAGTTTGTTTCCGAAAGACCCTCGGATCGAGAGTATGAATAGAAAACAATCAAATATCAACAACAAAAGCCAAATGTAAGAACCGAAAAAATAGATGGAAGAAAGTAATAGCACTAGCAACAAGCAGTAACTACAACAAAATACTAGAAAGTCAAAGTGGAAGATATAATAAGAAAACAACCATAATACTAGCAATCTGAGAACAATGATAAGATACTAACAGACTAGCCCTAAACAACTCGATATGGATTTGAAAAACGGCCGACTACCTACTATTCTTCTTCCCTAATTCTGACCTTCACACCCTCCTATTTAGGATCATGTCCTCAGTAAGCTCACGTCGGACTATGTCTATGATTGACAAAATTTAATATCAAATCTACTTTCTGTAATGGAATTAACCAAACAATAGATTGTAAAAGACTTCTAGTTGTAGAGGCAAAGTAAGTAACTGGCCCACTATGAATTGTATGTGTCGATGTTATGGGAAGGAATTAAAAGAACAGATTTCTTGAATGTAATTAGGGGAAGTTGGTAGTTGCCATTATTTGGCTACTACGTAGTGGTTAAATGAGTGTAACCATCTCACCGTCCACATTTATTCAGCAAACCATCTCTTTTACAGCCAGTTAGCTATTACTTCCTTGGACAAACTAGACTATGATGGATTTCAACTATATACGAGCTGTGCAGCAGTCCGTTGTCAGTTAATTTAAAAAAAAAAACTGATAGTAATTAATAAACATGGTAGCTAATTAATTACTTTTCTAACACAAACCTATTACGCTGGAACAATTATTCCGACAATTTTCTCTCCCTCATTTAATGTATTACCTCAAGATGCTCTCATTTCTCCTTAATAATACATTGTGTTATATAATTATTGAATACATGATGAATAGTAATGTTATATGTGAATGTACATTACTAGTATACATTCATAGTATCTTAAGGTATATATAAAATATACATACATATATATGACATATTTATGATATACACATACAATATAATATATTCATAGTTTCTTAATGGTATATATATAGGAGTAATATACATATACGTATATATTTATATACACGATATAATGATGGCATTTAACAGTGTATAAATTAAAATGATATTCTACTATATTATATACATAGTATAATAATATATAACTTACAGTGTTATTCTAGTATATTAATTTTATATTTTATCATATTAGTTTCTCTTTAATGTGCTTCAAGCTCTTCTAGCTAAGTTGAAGAAAAAAAGAGAAGAAAAGATCTTCCAAAAATCTCCATGACAAAGTAAAAATGAGAGAGATGGGTAAAGCATAAAGAAGGAAGTACATAACGTATTGGAATAGGAAAGAAAAAGGAAAGATTTTTTTAAAAGTCGAGAGATTTTTTAGGGGCCTAATAGAATTGGACAAACTTTCAAATTTAAATTCAAAATTAGATCTGCTAAAATGGTAAAAAAAAATTGTTATTTTGGAATAAGCAGAACATACTACTATTATTTATGAGAATACTCTTTAAAAAGGGAGCAAGTGTGTAAAAAATACTCTTTATTTATTTATTTATTTACTTTTTTTTTTTGGCGTCAAGATACTGTTGATTAGGGTACAAATTAAGAAAGCAAGTAGTTGCAACACGCAATAAAGTGATCCTATTTTTAGTGATAAATAGCAGTGACAACATTTAGTAACAATGAATCATACTAAACTTTATGCTCCTATAGGATTATATATCATATACGATTAACAATTAAATTTGATTTGTAGGATATTGATGGAAGATGCCAAGATTTAGAGGAGATGGCAGACTTACTTCCATAAACTTCTGAATGGAAAAGGGGATCGGGATATTGTGCTAGGCGAATTGGAGCATTCCAAGAGTCACCGTGACTTCGGGCACTGCAGGCGTATCAAGGCTGAGGAGGTTGTGGGGGCTATGCGTAAGATGAGTAGGGGCAGAGCAACCGGGCCAGACGAGATTCCGGTGGAATTTTAGAAGTGTGTAGGGAGAGCAGGTTCGGAGTGGTTGACTGGGTTGTTTATTGTTATTTTTAAGGCGAAGAGAATGCCGGATGAATGGAGGTGGAGTACGGTGTTCTATTGTATAAGAACAAAGGTGATATCCAAAGTTCTAACAATTATAGGGGTATCAAATTACTGAGTCATACAATGAAAGTATGGGAGAGGTCATTGAAGCGAGGGTGAGGATGACAGTGTCTGTATCCGACAACCAGTTCGGGTTCATGCCGGGTCGTTCTACCACAGAAGCTATACACCTTGTTAGGAGGTTGGTGGAACTGTACAGAGAGAGAAAGAAGGATCTGCACATGGTATTTATTGACCTAGAGAAAGCATATGACAAGGTTCCAAGAGAAGTTCTCTGGAGATGCTTGGAGACAAAAGATGTATCGGTTCCCTATATTATGGCGATTAGGGATATGTATGACGGGGCTAAGACTCGGGTTAGGATAGTAGGAGGCTACTCGGAGCATTTTCCGGTTGAAATGGGGTTACACCAAGGCTCTGCGCTCAGTCCGTTCTTATTCGCCCTGGTGATGGAGAATTAACAAACCATATTCAAGGGGAGGTGCCATGGTGCATGCTATTTGCCGATGACATAGTTCTGATTGAACTAGCCGGTGTTAACGAGAGACTAGAAGTTTAGAGACAGACTCTTGAGTCTAAAGGTTCTAAGCTAAGCAGAACGAAGACGGAATACTTGGAGTGTGAGTTCAGCACTGAGCCGGGAGAAGTGGGCATGGATGTGAGGCTTGAATCACAGGTTATCCCTAGTAGAGGCAGCTTCAAGTACCTTGGGTCGGTTATCCACGGGGGAGGGGAGATCGATGAGGATGTCGCACACCGTATTGGGGTAGGTTGGATGAAGTGGAGGTTAGCATCCGGAGTTTTGTGTGACAAGAGAGTGCCAACGATACTCAAAGGTAAGTTCTATAAAGCGGTGGTTAGACCGGCCATGATGTATGGGGCTGAGTGTTGGCCTGTTAAGAACTCACATATCCAAAAGATGAAAGTAGCAGAAATGAGGATGTTGAGGTGGATGTGCGGGCACACTAGGATGGACAAGATTAGAAATGATGATATCCGGGAGAAGGTGCACGTGGCTCCCATTGATGACAAGATACGGGAAGCGAGGCTCAGATGGTTTGGACATGTACAGAGGAGAAGCCCATATGCTCTAGTAAGGAGGTGTGAGCGACTGGTTGTGGAGGGCACGAGAAGAGGTAGAGGGCGGCCTAAGAAATATTGGGGAGAAGTGATCAGGCAGGATATGGCGAGACTTCAGATTTCCGAGGACATGACACTTGATAGGAAGTTGTGGAGGTTGAGTATTACGGTTGTAGGCTAGGAGGTAGTTGAGTCTTGCGTTACCTTGTACTGTTGTGAGCCTAGTCTGGTAGAGTTTTTGTCTGAGATAGCTAGGGGCATTGTCGTGTCTTACTATTTTCTCTTTTCGGTGCAGGACCTATTTACTAGCCATCATTTTTGTTTTTGTTTTGCATTTTTCCTTCTGCATTTTATGTTCCTATTTTTCCTATGATCTCTGTGGTGAAACTAACATTCCCCCCTTTTTGTTTTTCTTCTTATCTTGAGCCGGGGGTCTTCCGGAAACAGCATCCCTACTCCTTCGGGGTAGGGGTAAGGTCTGCGTACATAGTACCCTCCCCAGACCCCACTTGTGGGACTTTACTGTGTTGTTGTTGTTGTTGTTGTAATTAAATTTGATTTGTGGTTTTAAAGATACGTGATTTAGTTCAATACCAATTAGGAATCAAGAAATATGAAGTAGAAATGAAAGATAAAAGTGAATCAAACCAATGTTACTTAGCAGCAGTGACCTCGAGGTGGCTTAAGGCAGTAAGAACAATTAAGTAGGAAAATTAAAGTAAGAACAATTAAGCTAAGGGACAATTCTGATGAACAGCAAGCAAAAAGTAGAGAGTATATTCTTTGCTCAGTAAAAAGATGGTCTTACAAATGATTGGGGTCCCCTTTATATAAAGGGGAACCCTAAATAAGGAATATTTCCATTTACAATAGGGAATATTCTTGTTACAGCTGTCTAACCGCCCAGTATGGAATTGTACAATCCTATTCTGTGATTTGCGCGATGACTTTTGGGGACGTGACAGGAATCTAGCTCGTTTTGGTACAAATCCATAATGGTACTATTTCGGAGTAGAACACGCTTGGCCTTGGTATTCCTCGAACTCCTTCCTCCGGGTATTACACTCCGTCTTCGAGCTCGAGCCCAGTCCATCGGTTTCGAACTCAACCTCTCCCGGACTCAAGCCTAGGGCGGAACATCGAGCTTCTACACCGGGGGCATATGACTTTGACCGTATATATATATAT